ACCTGCCAATTGCTTGTTGTGCCTTTGCCTTCTGGCCTGGTTTGACCCTTAAGGAGTGCCAAGGGGTTGGGAGACTGGGGGTGGGGGTGGGGGAGGGCTGCGCTGGCCATCACGGCTGCTCCTGCCTTCTGCGTTGGGAACTTATCCTGTGTCTTTAGCTTTCCCAGAATCAGTCTCTGGTCTCCCTCTGAGGGCAGCAGCCAGTTGCGAGGCTCCTTTCGTCAGGGGTGTATTCTGAGCCCCAGTCCTCTGACCCTGGTTCTTAATTTCCCTTCTGCGCTCTGGGCGCCTGAGCCCTCTGAGGTCCTGGTCTGCTTCACAAAGGAGTTCGAGAAACACTCTGTAAACTTTGGCAGTTAAACAAGAAATCCCCCAAGATGAATCTGCTGGGGAGTATGAGGGACCAAGAATGGAAAGATGACTGGAAAGATGACGTAAATGTTTCTCAGATGACTGGTGTGTTTCCAGGTGTGTGTGTGTTACTGTGTGCACTGTGTATGGTCTGAGTGAAAGTGCTCCCAAATTTAGGAATTTGCTTACCAAGTGAAAGCAAAATGAGGAAGTGAAAATAGGCAGGAGCAGATCAGTGTGCTTTATAGAGCTAACGGAAGGGAGAAGGAAAGAGATGTGAAACAAAACACAAATGGTAGAAAATTTAAGTTTGTCAATAATTACATGGAATGAAATGAGATCATATTCACCTATTTTGAGGTAGCTCTTAAAATGCAGCTATGTATTGTTTATAAGAACACTTATGACACACTAAAAAAAAAGTTGTAAAATTGGGTGTTGAAGAGCACACCCTGCAAATATTTATAATTTAACAGTATAAATACTGGGAAAATCTTGTTTATATATAAATTTATTGAAATGTATTCTTATGTTCAAAAATCAAAGGAGATGAAGCATAGTTTCCTAAGTTAAAATTACTTTAGAATATACACTAATTAATATACCACTAAAGTATAAAGGTACCATATAACTAAGGTAATTGCCTATGAAGAAGATGTAATAGTTTTATAAATGTGCATATATATAAAATGATGTAGCTGTAATATAGAATTACAGAGTGAAGGAAACCAGATAATTACAATAAAAATATTTGTAACCCAACTTCTTAGTAAGGGATTTCACGACCTGCTCAGACATTAATAGAATCCTGAAAAAAATGAAAATAAAAGCTTTAAAAAAAATAGCTAATTTTCATGTCATTTAAAACATTTCGAAAAAAGAAGAGGCTTAGAAACCGGTTCATTATTTGAGAGTCATATAACATCGATAGAAAAAAAAAAAGCAGAAAAGGATGGTAGAGGAAAAGTAAGTTATTGAATAAATATCAAAAGCAAACATCAAGCTAAATTACTACTAGTAAATGGAATGCAGCTTTTCCAGTAGCAAGCCAAATATATTTTTCCAAAAATATAGAATGTAAGGAAAAAGCATGCTCAGACCAGTAAGAGGTGTGTATAATAGTAAGATTACAAAACTCATACGAAGAAATGTAATTCATACATTTGTATGTTTTGTCAATTAGTTTGAACTACAGAGATTAAGACCGTTCCTTTTGCCAGGTGCGTTGGGCATTATCAATATGAGGAAGCAGCATCCTTAATGCACGAGGCTCATTGTACCTGACTCCAGGCCCCATGAGCCTATTAGGAACAGATTTGGCGGGGAAAACCCCATTTCAGACCTAGTGCAGGTCAGAGGTCTCAGGGAAAGATAATTATCCGCCTCTTACTTTCCTAGATGACTGGTACATACACCAAAGTAACTTTAATTTAGGAAATTACACTCCACCTCCTTTGATTTTTGAATGAGAATGAACTTGAATAAAGGATAAGAGAAATGGAAATTGAACATCAAATTGCTTCAGTTGCATTTCCCAGAGTTAGTGGGAGGGGTCAGCTGATTCCATTAAAGGAGGAAGAGACCATGGTAGTAACAGATGTTGGGGCCCAGGGTCTATCTGTCCCCCTTGGGCTCCAAATCTCTGGAAATGAAAGAACAGAAATAATTTCCTGGTGAGAATTTCCATCCTTGTTTGTGCTCCAGTAAAGTCTCCAAAATAGCATTTAACTAGTCCCACTGGGATGCCGGATCCTTTTCTGTCTGTTTACCGGCTCCCTGTGCTTCTGTCAGACCTGACACTGGGCCTTTATGAGTTGTATTCCTTGCAGTAAGAGCATGGGGAAGATATAAGTTTCCATCCTAAAAGCCATTCATCTGTTTGGAGCATGAGGAGTAGGGACCTATTAGCAACCTTGAAGCGTAACCCCAGTGTATGGTCATGTGATGTGGGAAGGTGTAGAGACTCTGTGAGACTCTGATGTGCCAGGAGTGAGGGAACCCGCCGCCCCATTGTATTGTCAGGAACGTCCCTGTGAGAAAATCAGACCAGCTCCTTGGCTTGGAAGGCGGTGGAAGGTGGGGTGTGGGTGGGGGTCTTTATCTCTTCTCCTACACCAAACACTCAGAAACAGCGAGAGCATCTCACCAAAAGAGAGAATAAAATAATTTATTCTAGGAGAAACTCTATTGCCTCCATTGGGGTGTTTTTTCTTCTAAGAAGACCCTTGGGAGAAAGGAATTTCAATACTATTTATTCACTGTGTATTCTCTTGGCATCACCCAAACTCATGTCCAACCTGTGTTCTCGTATTTATTTCTAAGTCTGAGGTAAGTGTGTTCTATTATCTATGATCTTCTATTCTCTGTTCACGTTACAGTTTCAGAGGGGCTGTAATGAGAAATCACAACGCAAAGTGTGGTTGCTGTGATCTGTTAACGCCAACTTTCTGCTATCTGCAGACTTAGCAACTAGGGTCATCTAAACGGTATCATCTCTTCCAGATAAGCCTCAGCTGGGACATGTATTCTGATGCATGTAGCACAGCATTTCTTGTTTAAATTACCAGATAAAATGGCTCGTTGAGAGATTTGCTTACAAAGTTTTGCTGTCCATGAAATTAATAGTGTTTTCATGAAATAATGGGCTTCATTGACCACAAAATGAGTTTGTTGCAGAATAAGGGTCCTGAAGGTTTTATTTTTGAGTGTGAACTTCCTTTGGTGAGTTGCTTAAGAATGTTTATTTCTATAAGTTGAGCCACACATAATTAAGGAGCTCATGAAAGAATTCACGGTGGACTTGTGGGCTGGAGCCAGGTACAGCCTCCACGCAGGTGCTCTGGGAAAGCTGTTTGTATTGAGCCTGGCAAGAATCTTTTCTACTGCAAGGGAAATACTTTGAGTTGCAAGGATTTTGACTGGGGAGGAGGCCGGTATCTGTTTGATGTCATCTATGTATTGAAGAAAACAAGTATTGTTAAAATATACCATGGAAAACTTATCTGCTGGGAACTGGGTGTTTTAGCAACACCACAAACCTCAATCTGTCCCTTTTGAAGTTGCTGATTTGCTTTAAGCCACTTTGTGGCTGCTGTTGCAGTTTCCAGACAAGGCAATTCCAGCTGTGTCTGGACTTAGTTGAGACCCCGGGTGGGCATGCCTTTAATGGTTGGTTTTGTTGTGCAGGGGTGTCATCTCTGTGAATCCTCTTCACAGTGTGTCATTTCAGGCAGTAGGGAGGAGCTTTCCTCAGACCCTCGCTGAGGAACATCAGTGGGTTTTGGACTTTGTGTTTTAGCTATTTGCAGATGGGAGGAGGAAGAGATGACACTAATAGATCATAGGCCATGACCCGCAGGGCGCAGCAGACCTCTCGTTTCCCCTCAGCAGTGTGTTTCAGTAGATCTGCCTGTTCTGCTTCCCACTCTGTCTCTAGTGGATCCTCTCACTGTACCCAAGTTCTGTATATATAGATAGATAAATCTTAAAAAAAAAATCATTCAACCAGAATGTTTACTATTAAAAACAAATGGAATGATATAGAAAATAACAGCCATATTGCATATGAAAATGATTCATACGCAGACATCTATTCGTGTATATATGCGTGTGTGTGTATAAATAAATATACAAACACACATGTATTTTTGAATTAAACATGAGAATTGATACTTCAAATATTTTGGAGAAAGTTTAATACAGATAAATTCAGACACATTTGAGTGTGTGTGTGTGTGTGTGTGTGTGTGTGCAGACTGTAAAATACATTGAAACAGAAGAGGTGTGACAGTGGTAACCTCACAAGCAGGCACATTCACAATAGACCATCTGCAGCAACCTAAGTCTCTGCTTTAAATATTTACTTATTTACGCATACAGAACTGGGGTACAGGCCAGAAGTGCAGGGGCAGTTGAGAGGATTCACCAGAGACAGAGAGGGGAGCAGAACAGGCCGACTGATAAAGTACACTGGGTGAGATAGGGGAGGTCTGCTGCACCATGTGGGTCACCCCTCTCCCCCGCTCCCCGGCTGGGGGCTGAAGCAGTTGTGCCAGCTTCTCAGTGCTGCACTTTAACTCACTGTGCTACCGGGGAGGACCCCAAAGTCTCTGTTTTAAATCTAGCCAAAGTTAAGGCAAAACACTTGCCACTCTTTCAAATTAGTTCAGGATTATATATCAGTGGCCAACAAATCTTATACCGGAGGTACAAAATAGTGAGAAAACCATTAAAGAATTCCCGACTTGCCCCTCCCCCCCCAAGGGCACAGACCAAGTTCATGACTGATGTGCACAGTGTGGGAATACACCCAGGGAGCCTTCCACAGGATCCGATAACCACAACCCCAGGGAAGTGCTCACTATTATGACAACAACTTAAGCCTTCATATATGTTGAATAGTAGCTATTTGTTTAATTCCAACTAAGTGTAAGGCTTGGAACTGAATGGAAAACTCAACTGAATGCTATAATGGAGGACTAGCATTTAGCCAATCAGTGAAAAAATGCCCTCGGTTTCAGGGTTTACTTAGTGATGAACAGGACAAAAACGCCATTGCAGATGTTTTCGTAAATAAATAATGGCACACATGTTAGATACTTCCTTCAGATAGTCAACATGGCATCCTCCATCATCTCTTTTGCAGGGAAATGGGGGGAAATCACACAATGGTTACCGAATTCATCCTGTTGGGGTTTCCAGTTGACCCAGGGATTCAGATGCTTCTCTTTGGACTCTTCTCCCTGCTCTATGCCTTCACCCTGCTGGGGAACGGGGTCATCCTGGGGCTCATCTCTCTGGACTCCAGACTGCACACCCCCATGTACTTCTTCCTCTCGCACCTGGCCATGGTCGACATTGCCTACGCCTGCAACACGGTGCCCCAGATGCTGGTGAACCTCCTGGACCCGGCCAGACCCATCTCCTTTGCTGGCTGCGTGACCCAGACCTTCCTCTTTTTGACATTTGCTCACACTGAATGTCTTCTCCTGGTGGTGATGTCCTATGACCGATACGTGGCCATCTGCCACCCGCTCCGCTACTCTGTCATCATGAGCTGGAAAGTATGTGTTGTCCTGGCCATCACCTCCTGGACCATTGGTGTCCTGCTAGCTCTGGCCCATCTAATGTTACTCCTCCCATTGCCCTTCTGTGGACCCCGGGAAGTTAGTCACTTCTTCTGTGAAATCATAGCTGTCCTCAAGCTGGCCTGTGCAGACACGCACATTAACGAGATCATGGTTCTGGCAGGGGCAGTGTCTGTGCTGGTGGGACCCTTCTCCTCCATTGTGATATCTTATGTCTACATCCTCTGTGCCATCCTAAAGATCCAGTCGGGGGAGGGGCGCCAGAAGGCCTTCTCCACCTGCTCCTCCCACCTCTGTGTGGTTGGACTCTTTTATGGCACGGCCATTATCATGTATATTGGGCCCCGGCATGGGAGCCCCAAAGAGCAGAAGAAGTATCTTTTGCTGTTCCACAGCCTTTTCAATCCCATGCTCAACCCCTTGATCTATAGTCTCAGGAACAAAGAAGTTAAAGCTGCTCTGAAGAGGCTGCTTGACTAAGAGAGAACACCATGAGAGCTTCATAGAATAATACAATGACTCAGGACAAGGGGGCCTGAAAAGTCACCTTCTGCAGCATCCACAGAGGAGACATAGTTATGCTCTAAGGCGGGATTATCAGCTCCCTGTGACTCCCCTACTGAGCAAGTATATGCCGCTTTCCTTCCTCTGCACTGAGGTCAGAGCTGCAAAAAGAAATTAAAATCTCTCCAAACTAGCTGCAGAGTGTACACTCAGTTTACAGTGGTCATGTGAAATATTCTGAGTAAGAGAAAATAAATTTGTGCCTTTCTAGCTCCATTATTGCAACTTGTTGACAAAATTTTTATAGGATAGAACCAAATGTTGGCAGAATATTTTAGACATAAGAGTTGAACTAGATTAATAATGTAGTGATTTAATACTTCATTCAATAGCTATCATCTCATTCTCCACTATAAGTGTTCAAATATATTCCTACATATTCTTAAGGTAGTGATATTTTTAAAGCATAATCAACTTAAAATAGAAAGAATATGAGCTATGACTTCAAGGAAAAGAGTATGAAAAACAAAGCTGAAGTAACTAATGAGAATAAGAAAACTCCAAATGGTATCATGTTAATAACCATACAGCCGTATCTTTTTTCTTTGTGGGGTGTAGGTGGAATGTAGAACAAGGGAAGAGAATGGAGATAATGGAGAGGCCTCACTGGAAATAACTATATATTTTCTATCATTGATTTGGTCAGTTGTCTCCTGTAGGAAGAGAGCAAAACTTGGAGAGAACATTCTGGTGAATAAGACTAAGTTAATCAGTGATGCTACAGCTATCAGTTATCAGGAATTATTTGATTTTTCAGTTAAAAGACCAGAGGAAAGTTAAATCTTCTCTTTACTCTTGCAAGAAACTCTAGCACTTACTGATAAAGGGAGAGTTAAGAAGTAGTGGAGAATGATATATACGCAGAATTTCTTTTGTGTTTCTTAACTTTTTCCGCAAAGTATAAAGTATATAGTAAATTAAATCTGTCACATACTTACACTGGACAAAAGGGGCATACTCAATTTTTGAAGCAGGGTGTTTTTGTGAAAAGTCTTTTTGAAGGGGGAAAATAGATGGAGTCTTCTCTTACAAAGCCTCCCTTTAATAAGGGTATCATAATGCAGGCATTACTACATGACCAAGAAAAGGTTAAAAACACCTGTACTGTGAGCTCAGAAAAGGCTAGGAGTTTACAAAGTTCTAACAGTTGCTAGATATGCTAACTTCTGTAATTCACTTGCAGTCTTAGGGATTTAGGTTTACTATATGTAAAACTGTTAAGGGGAAGGATGTCCCAAAGGAACTCTGCAGAGTCTTGTAGACTCTACTCCCTACTCTGGCTTTCTGGACTCTACCCCCTACTCCAGTGATGGGAAACTACAACTCCCAGCAGTACCAGGGAGAGAACTGCGAGGACCCAAGGGTGGAGCTAAGCAGGACTCTGGGACATTGGGGGATAAATAGGGCACCATTGTGTCTCATGCTCTCTCGCTCAGGAAATGGTTCTCTGGACCGCGTGACTCGGGGCTTTCAGTTAGTTTGTCACCAAAGCTCCAAGTCAGCCCAGCCAGTAAGATATTCCAGTTGTTGTTTCCTTTTCCTTTCCCCTTTTGTAAATAAACCCATTTTGACCCTTTTGTGTGTGCCTGCAATACAACTGAATTTTAAGTGCGCGGGTGAGACCCACAGAGAGGCATCTGGAGTCCACAAGTTTGTTGTAAAGAGGAAGTACTATGTGCAACAGGCTTAGTAAATCTATGATTCATAATAAGAGCTCAATAAATAATGATGATTCATATCATCTACTATGTATGTCTTTATCACATCATCTTAGAATAAGGACTATGACTCATAAGTAAGACAACAGAAAATTTCCCCTTGAACTAGAAAGGATATTGCAAAATATAGTCTTCCATCTGGTGTATAACACCAATATTTTAAATAATTCATGAAGGAATTGACTTAGGGTTTCCCTTTGTCATTTCAGTTTCTAAAGAAATAGTGAATATTTCAAAAGTACTTGGAGATGTAAAATTCAAAATTGCAAAAATTCTTATGTTTATAAAAACTTCTCTCTCTCTCTCTCCCTCTCCTCTCTCCTCTCTCTCTCTTCCTCCCTCCCCACCCCCCTGTGCTGTGTTAGATTCTGGAAATGAAAAGATAAGAAAGACATATTTCCTACTTGTTAGCAGGGAAGAATAACACAGCTAAGCCAACAAACTGTAACAGTGCCGGGTGCTGTGAAGCTCAGAGATATGCACAGGTGTTAATGTAGCCCAGATAAAGTCTAAGCACTCCAAGTGGGAGCAGTTAAGGAAGACTTCCTGGAGCAGGAGGCAATCTTAAACAGGTGAGAGTTAGCTTGAGGGCAGGCTGTTTGGCAGGAGGCATTGTCCCATCCATTTTCAAGAAAGTGATAAAGACTCAGAGAGTGAACAGAGTGTGTTGTGTGAGGGGAACTAAAAATCGCTCAGAATGTTGGGAGTGTAAATAAAAGGACTGGAAGAGGCAAGGTTGGAGAGAAAACAAGCATGGAGAGACTCATATTCCAGACTCTGGATCTTGAAATATATCCTGTGTGAAATCTGAAGTCACTGAAGGTTAAAAGTATGGAAATATCAAGGATCCAGACCTTAAATTGAAAGCTGCTGGCACGATAGAAAGTGGGGATTTGAAGAGACCAGGTTGGAACCAGAGAGATTATGTTACGTTACAAGTTACTGTATTAGCCCAGGTGAGACATGGTAGCTGGAGGGGGAGCTGGGATGTGAACACAGAAGTGGGAGCTGAACTGAACTAAAAGATGGGCAGGTAGTTGGCCCACTGGGGGGTGGGGGGCTGTCTAAGAAACTTCCTTTTTCAGGGGCAAAAAGTGTATCAGTTCAGCTCTGTAAAAGTTTACACAGTGTGTAAACTCGGGTAACCACTTTCTGGGATGAGAAGTAGGCATTTCTGGCATCCAGCAGCCATCACTTTGGCCTATTGGTTGACGAAACTATCCCTCCTGCAGGGAGTTGCTCCCTGGTTTCTAACAGCACATGTCGGCATTTGACTGTCTCGGCTCTATGTCCACACAGAGTATGCTGCTTTTACCTGCTCGCTTTCGCTATTGCATTTGTGCAGTCACTCAGTCTTGGGTGGCTGTTTCCTTAGCGCTCATTTTGTTGCATTGCACTATATAAACATCAGGATTTATTCATAATCTTTCTCGAGGATATTTGAGTTTTCTCCAATTTTGGCTATAATAATTATTTCAGGAATGCTGCGCTAGTCTTGGCGGAGGTAGGAGCATAGACATATCTGTTGCAAACCATCTGAAATCTTTCACTTTTGACTGATAATGGCGCCTTAAATAATTTGGTTTCAAGATACTTTTACACCTTTAAATATCTGTTGGCCTCAAGGAAACTGGGCTCCTGTGTTTGCTGACAGAAATTGCAAGAGAATTTTAATTCGATTCATTTTAACAAAAATCAACACACTTATTAAAAATAGCTGTCTCTTTTAAAATAAAATAAGGAAAAATGTAACATTGTTTTACATTCTATGTATGTAGAATTCATCCATGTTTATCTCAGAAGACTAGATCTTTGCATTTCTATATTCAATGTTATTAAAAAAATAAAAATATTGGCCCTCCCTGGTGGTACAGCAGGTTAAAGCATAGCACTAAGATGCTAAAGCCACTTCAGCATGAGTTCGATCCCCACTCGGATCCCCACCCCGGAGGTGACCCACATGGCGCAGCAGATCTCTCCTGACCCGCTCACTGGTCCCTTCAGAAGTATACTTCATCAGTCACCCTGATGAAGAGTCCCCACTCTGGTGAATCCTCTCACTGCCCCTGCCCCTCTGCCTGTACCCCAGTTCTGTATGCATACATAAATACATCTTAAAAAAAAATAAAAATATCGTGTCACTTTTGGAAACTCCATTGTACCCTATGAGTGAATGATAGTGGGAAAAGCATAATAAAATATTGTGAATATAATTTCAACCATGTGAAAACTCTCAGAGGGTTGCAGGTGTCCATGCACTGGTGAGTAGGGAAACTGTTGCATTAATTTAAGCTTTAGTTACCAAGGCTATTTGTGAGGGTAATGATAAGATGAAAATACCCGTTCCATGTGAAACCCTTGACACTCCACGCCATTCATATAAAGGAAACGCTGACTGTTTTATATTCCTCCCTCCTCTGTATGCCTCACATCCTGATGGAGTCAGTGTTCCCGGCCCAGGAGTCTCATCTGCAAGTGTTTTAGTGCCCTGAGTCTCTGTAAGTCCCACCAGTCTCCCTCCAGCCCAGCCCCATTGCTGTCATGGCGTCTGCAAGGAAGTTGCCTAGTGCCAGCTTGGGTCGGTTCCTTCCAGTTCTGCCTGACAGGTGTTCGGCTCTTGTAGTATCCACAAAGCCCCAGTCTCTCACACACCTTCGTGGGAATAAAGAAGAGCGTAAGCTGATGAAATTCCGAATTTTAAGGCCCTGAATACTGTAATTTCTGACATCACCTTCAGGGGCTCTCACAGGTGAGACAGCTGAAAACCTGTATATGTGGAGAGTGACTTTAGCATGTGTCCTGTGTCCCCTAGAACCATTTTGCAGGGACATTCCAATAAAATCTTTGCTCTTCTCCAGAGAGAAGCTCCAGGGATGTGGTTTCTCCCCACCTTCGAGAGGAATGAGACACACTATGTCTCACGTTCCCTGTGCCAATTGGTGTTCTCTGGTGATTCTAAACTTATTGCTGGGGGGTTAATTAAGAGCTTCACGTTCTGTTGCAATACCATTAGCCATGAAATAAATGATCCCGAAATAGGGCTTTATTTTCCTGGAATGAACTAGAGTATCTAGTGGTGTCTGGCTCACCACGATGGGGTTTGTCCTAGCTGCGTGTAGATTAAACATATCTGGCGTGAGTGCCGTTGTGAGCAGAAATGTCTTGGGCACCAAGTGGTGGTTCTGTGTCCAGGTCCTG